AGTACACATGAACGTTTATAGTCAATTAATTTAATAAAAGTTAAAAACTATCCCGTACATCTAAAGAGTTTGATACTGGTCTCATTCCCAATTATTTCTTTATTGCAGTGAAAGTGTTGTATAATTACACAGAATTGCAGCAATCCGTCGAACAAACTGCGTTACCGAAGAAAATCTATTTTGAAGTGCCAATAAAGAATTACGGTTGGTTACTAGTGCGTCAGTAAAATGACCCGATTTATACTTTTTATTGTTGCACATATTCGCATTATAGTATATCGTCATATGAAAGCATTTTATGAGTATTTTTTTTTGCTGTCGTTTATTAATGTGGACATTTAGGGTTGTAGTGGTTTTTAATTGAGTATTTAAATACATTTGTGTTTTCTTGCAGTGGTTAATGCTCAGATGTATTTACCAGTCGAATATAAAGAGACTGAAGTCGTGCAATATCCCATGCTTGTAGACGTGTAAGTACCAAACACGTAAACATGAAGCCCAGGCATTCATGATAGGAATGTATATAACATAAAATTATATGTTACCTCATATGACCATATGCGCTTTACAAAATGATTGCAAAGGACGCAGACGCGTACAGAAATGTTTGTAATGAGGTATATTTAATATTGGTTACGTAGCACATGCATTAAATATTGATCTAAATTTCAGAAGAAGTGGGCACTTAATTGAGGATATCATGGTTTATAAATTTGCTAGCTTGAAAGTAGCGTGAATAAAAGAAATATTATATATACTATGCGCCATTTTATATTGTTTAGGCGCTTATATCTCCCGGTAATAGTATTAGAATGATTTTGAGATGGTTGGTAATAATGATTTACTTGTCTTTTTTTAAATTAAACAGAGGAAGAAAGTTGTAAGTATTATTTGGCAAAGCATTTTAAATCGCATGCTCTTCGTATAGAGGTTTTACGATCAACTCTCTGCTGTTTCATAACTACTTTTTCATACTTTCCTTTATGCATGCAACGCTGGAATTTATTTTGATTTTTTTATAAACAGAATTAACAAACATAATATTGAATTTGGCTGAAGAACTTTAGATCTAACAGGGTGTACAGCATGCAGATTTCTGGGTGTAGCTATAGAAAAATATCTCACTGTACTTCACATTTTATACTAGAGCTGGAATCCCGTCATTACTTAGATAAAGTAAAGTGGGGTACGGATAGCTCACAACCAGTCTAAAACAACAAACAGTGCATGTCTGAATCAGCAGCAGTAGATTGCAGGGTGCACGGTAGCCGTGAATTTTTCTGTTTTTTTTTCTCTCTACAGTGTCTTCATTTAATTATTTATTTTTGATCAGCAATGATAAGCAACCAGTAAATCCATTACACTATAGATATAAACAAAATAAGTATAGTTACGCTGTTGTTTTAATGTGTGCTCAATTAATTTCAATCTTGTTGGTAATATTAAGAGTTTTACTTAGGTGATACATTAATATTTGATTCGTAAGTTGCAAATACCTCGCCAATATCATTGATTTGGTAAAATAGTTGCAACTGTCGTATTGAAAAACCTCGTGGCTAAACACTGTATTTGTCTTTGAAAGTCGATCTAAAATAAATATAACTAATAACCTCTGTTTATAATATAAGATCTTCTTTGCAAACATCAGTGTGGCCGAGCATAGCCGCCAAGTTCCATCGTAATATTGACATCGCTGTGATTATATTTGCGGTCTCGGTGGATAATTTATGACTACATCGATAATAATGTAATGTGTGTGTGCGCGCGCGCGCGCGCGTGTGTGTGTGTGTGTGTGTGTGTGTGTGTGTGTGTGTGTGTATGTGCGTGTATGTGCGTGTGTGAGTGTGAGCGCGTGCGTGCGTTCGTGTGCGTAGGCCTATATGCGTGTGTGTGTTCGTGTGTGTGTGCGTGTGGGCGTGCGTGCGTGCGTGTGTGTGTGCGTGCGTGCGTGTATGTGTGTATAGCACGGCTTTTAAAATCATTTCAGCTATGGAGGCCCTGGTTCGCAGAAAGTGCTGGATTCGTTTAGCGTTGGCTGGAGTAGCTACTTGGCCTCTAGCCTCGGTGTCATCGTCGTCTCTATAGATGGTCGTGGCAGTAATGGTCGCGGTAACACCGTGCTATACGAAGTTTACCGACAGCTGGGCGTCAAAGAGGTTGAAGACCAGCTACTCGCTGCAAAGTAAGAAGCAAGCGGGCGAATATATGGTGTACGATTTGTCAAATTAGTCCAACTATATGTAGGTTTGCAAGCTAATCACTAAAATGTTCACAAACCACATATTACAAATTACAAACTGACAATACCAAATGCGCAAACAACATTAAGTTTTCAAAACACTATTCATTTTCACAAACACATGTAGATTCTCCTACCAAAACATGTAGTTTGTGAAATTTTTACTGGTTAGTTGGTTGGACTAATTTGACAAATCATACGCCATACGAATAGACCGATTTTTGTTTATAGTACGTAATGATATACGTATAGATATACTCGAATGTGACTGCGGAGAGGATAAGACTATGGAATGAACATCTCCTGGAATGCCCCCTATTGCCAGAGCCCTGTAGACTTGGAGTATCCTCGAATGTGGCTTTCAACCACCGTGCAAGGTCTTGTGTGCTGCAGTGGCTAGGTCGATCGTAGTGTAGTGACCCGAGATGAAGAAGATGAAGAAGAAGAAAAAGAAGTTCATAGTACGCCCTGTCTGTTATTTAGCGGGGGTATTTATTTTATGCGACTCGCGTATCTTCTTTCAGGTTCATCAGCGAAAATTACAATTTTGTTGACCCTTCGAAGATGGCCATCTGGGGATGGGTGAGTACTAGCGACTTTTTAGAACTTATCATTATGCACGAGAGATAATTTTTATTGTGGTTTCTTAACGCCATTAATAACATTGAGGACATATTTTTACCAAAATATAAAACTTGGTAACATGGTAACATTGTGAAGTTATATGATATTAAATGAAACAATGCATGGTTTAATGATGTGAGATATGGGAATGATGGACATAAGATAATAGTTTACAATAATAAGAGAGTTGGAAATGATGAAAAATCGCTAGAAAATATAGTGTAAATATGAAAGTAAGCGATCAAACAACGAGGAATGATGAATTGTCAGTGTAGGATCAATAGGCGCGGATTGGTTGATACATTTGAAGATTGATCTACCGGTTGATGGATCTGAGAACCCAAATGTTGTGTAGTCACTCTCAAGCTTACTAATCTTCATGTTGATAGTTCTCACACAGTAAAACTATTGTACTTGTCTTTACCCGGCAGTCCTATGGCGGGTTTGCAACCTTGCGAGCTTTGAGTCATGATCTAAACAAAGGCGGGAGCATTTACAAATGTGGCATGGCAGTTGCACCTGTAACGAGTTATCGATTATATGGTAGGTGGCGTTCTTCGTTGTGTGAACATTGTCATTATATTCATTTGTATTCTTCTGTACTAATTTTCGTAGATATGAAGGAAGAATATTCTCTGATAGTAAATTGATAAACTAAAGCAACCGTATTCCGATACAAGTACGCGGTAAAAATAACTCGAGGTTCATAACAAGCGTGATAGCGAGATTAAGTTTTTAGTTGATTAATCTTAATTTCTCTCAATTTTATTGACTCATTCCGATAAATCTGAACTGATGTGTCGATTTAAATCAAGCAATTTCACTCGAAAAAGTTGATGTTATTGGAAATTATTATCGATAAATTGACAGTATCGATTACCTCCAGACTCAGTCTACACGGAGCGGTACATGGGTTTGCCGGAACCAACAGACAATTACGCCATGTACGAGGTAAGTATCCGGAAAACAATTACACAACGGGAATGCTTCTAAAATAAATATATCATTCTATTATTTATAATTGTTATAAGAGTTAATTAAAATTTAAACGTGCAAAGAGATATCAAGCACTTGCCACCCTTTTAAAATCATGATATGTTTTTGCGTACGTGCGTACGTATCTCCGAAATTCTTTACCCACAACGATACTTATTACAGTAGTTGTAATAACATCTACTTGGCCGATTTGTAATTAAAAGTTCAGTAAACCGGTAAAACTCATGTTGTTAAACTACATCCCATGTTGAATTTACAGTAGACTGCTAGGATTTTCCTACTTCACTGACGCGAGTATTAATATTCTTAATAACGTGATTTTTTCGTCATGTTTGTTTGTTTGTTTTGCAGGCAACTACGGTGATGTCAAAAATAGAAAACTTTGAAGCAGTGGACTTCCTGTTAATTCACGGAGAAGCGGATGACAATGTTCATTATCAAAATTCAGCTATTCTTATGAAGGATCTGCAGGATAATGAAATACAGTTCAAAGCCATGGTACATGTAGATCACCAAATATTTCTCTATGATGGGTTACCTCTTAAATATGAAATGTCACACAATCCTGAATTTTGTAGTACTTAATTATTATTTTTATAATTTTTTATTATTTAATATTTTTTATAATCCTGAATGCTGTTATAATACTTATGTACATGATATTTTATATATCTCTGTTGCTTGCGCCGTTAGCGCGACTTGCGCGACAATTTTCCATTCCTGAATTAACAACTTGACGTTTTCTTTAGATATATCCTGATCAAAACCACAACATTCCTCGGACAAGTAAACACCTGTACAGGATGCTCACGAACTATTTGCTCGATTGTTTCGCCAATGAACAACAACTCAGCACAGATGGTAGCGCCACCGTCGCCAACACGCCAAAGAAAATGAAGGCACGCCTCTAGTACGTGGGCGTTTGAAGTTACCAGGGATGAGCTCTCTGTGTATTCTTTTGCATCAAAACACGGTCACGAGTGACTGAGCCTGCGCTGATGCTATAAGAAAATTGTTATACAATTTCCACTTTTTGCTACAGACAAACGTTCCAAAATTAGATTATTTTGATCTAAAGTGAAATATCATCGTGGATCTAAATAATGTTCATAACGATTTCTGATTGCGGATCAATGGGAAAGGCGAGGGATTATATTAGCGTTGTTATACTGATGATTGCGAATGATGATATGAGTATGAATAATTTAGCCCAAAATTATATTGTTTAATAAACAATAGTATAATACGATTCATATATATATATATATATATATATATATATATATATATATATATATATACCTCACAATTTGATACGGCTAAGGTATTACTAAAATTTGTTATGTCCTAGGATTTAAACTCATTCAATGAATGGTGTGTTTACCCATTCTTTTTAAGATTTCGTACGTTTTTCAGTTGAAAACATTAGAAATATAAATGTATATGAATGTACACAATTCAATAATATTCAATACAACCCAAGTTTTATACTGTCAACCTTCCATATATTCGAGATCACGTGTCGTGATACGACATACACGGCAATTAACACTAGGTTACGTATGAAAATATTGTGCCATAATTATTATATATGTCTAAAATCCCATGTGTAATAATGATTCGAGAGCCTGGTGTTTTCTAAACGCAAATGCTTTTTTACTATCTCCTAATTCATTTTGTGTATATAGTCGTTAAAAGGCTTCACACGGCGATTCAAATTCACATCGTTTGTTCTGCGAATGGCGCATGTATCGGTAAAATCCACAAATCAAGAAGTTAGCCGTGGCTGTTGGTAATGACTGGCTACGTGCACGAGCCTACACGTATAATGTATGATATATTATCAGGAGTGTATAATATAGAGATCTATCTAGAGATATATCTAAATATTTATCTAGAGATTTATCTAGAGATATATCTAGAGATTTATCTAGAGATATATCTATAGATATATCTAGAGAGTTATCTAGAGATATATCTAGAGATTTATCTAGAGATATATCTAGAGATATTGAGATATAATATGTCTATACACTCCTGATATTATCACCTAGCACAGTCTACAGCTACGGAAATCTTGCGTCGACTTAGAGCTTGTTCATAGTGATGGTTGGTTTACGACAAAAGCACAAGTTGTTGCTGCGAGAGTTTGCATAATTGCATATTTAATATGTAAAGTAATTTGCATGTAATTACACAGCATTGTCTTTGAAAATCTAGGTGCTCGCGCAGTATAGGTACCGATAAATTATATTTGCGAGGTTGGCTGTATATTCTACGTAGGTCTCCTTTACAACCAGCAATTTATAGAAGGTTAAAGAGTATTGTCTATTTTTGATAATGTAAGAGTAGTCGTTGGAATATATTTACATTTGGACTAGGTTGATTCCGCTAGATGAGGATCTATCTGTGCACATCTTTTGTTCGGAAGTTTCATTAGGTTCTTTAACGTGCATTCTGAACATTATTATGTGTTGATCGTATGTATATATTAATAATTATATATTTGTGTAAATGATGTACATAGTTCTATATCGAACTCTTGATGCTATAAAATCCGATTTAATAGTAGCATTGAAAGATTTGTGTCACGGTCAACAATTACGTTTTGCGTTAGTATTTGGAATATGGCGTGAAAGCTGTTATGATAATAGATGTCCTCCGCACATGTACGCACGCACACACACACCACACACACACCCCACACACCACACACACAGAAACACACACACACACACACACACATAACACACGCACACACACGACGCGCAGCCGCACGACGGCTACGCACACACACGCGCGCACGCGCACACATACACACACACACACGTGCGCACACACACGCACGCACACACACGCGCAGACACACGCGCGCACGCGCGCACACACACCCACACACACACACACACCACAATCACACACACACGCGCACGCACGCACGCGCGCGCGACGGAGATGCGCTATATCGTGCGGATATTTTTCGTACGAACACACATTCAACGCACATAACGTTGAAATAGATTCTGAATGGGTCAGCAGCCGTTTAAAATCGAGATATTACTATTTAAAAACAAAGTATGGAATATGCAATAAGCGTAGCTCATACACAGTCAACCCCACATAGCGATTTCTAGTTCAAGCGAAATACTCGTTGTTTGTGATGAGCATTGGAATAATAATTTATATTATTAATTTTTACATTAATTTTAATTAAATTTATATTAATTTAATAAATTACAACAGCGCATTTCCAAATTGCACTGTGAAACATTTTTACCGGTAACCATAATGTTCATCGACATTTTAAATTGATTATATATCATACGGATGGATTTATATGTTAATAAACATGTTAATAAATAAACCGTATCATGGGTTTCTGCTTCATAATGAACCAGCTTATAATTTTTCCGGGTCGTCGTTCTCAAAAATAATATATCAGGCATCGTTATTTTACCGAATGCTAAATCATCTATACGTTATTATAAAGACAACCGGCCAGGCGTTGTGTATAACAAAAATTCATCTTGTGTGTGAAAGACGCACGCACGCACGCTCAAACACACACATACGCACCCATGCACATACTGACCACATATAATACACACATGAGTACGCACGCTCACGCATAAGCATACGGGCATATGCAAGCGCACGCGCACGCACGCTAGAGAAATGGTGATCAGCCCTCTACATGAAATGATGAAAGGGGAAGAGTCATTCGACATTTCAAGGCGCTGATCATGTGAGGAGGCGCACAGTAGTTAGTACACATATAAGCCTAAATGTGTGTGCCATTATTTTACATGCATATATTATACAATAAATACGTTTACGGTATGTTCATCGCAGCTATATGTCAAATAGTGCTGAACTAGGAAGGTCCGGCTATCATATTCATATTCCCAGTGCTCACTCGTATCCCGCTCGGCCCATCAGAAGAAAAAGCAAACTTTGTTAAAATTATGTCCACAGCCTTTATTGAAAAATTTAATAACAATTTGGGCCACCATACGGAAGCGAGTTACAAGAAACAGTTACAGCGCTTTGTATGCGGTTATGTTATATCCTCCTCTAAGAGTGAAATCAAAACACAGGTTTCCTGTATTATTTTCTTCACTCGTGTAAAATAAAATATGTTTGTCTATAGATGGCGCTCGTATATATGTAGAGATATCTGCGATCGCGACATGGCGGAATTTAATTTGCGCAATTAGTGTGGTCAAAACCATGCTGTATCGTAACATTTATGAACGGCATTACTTACCATTTTGTAGAAAACGCAATACAACACAAAACTAACATAATTCATCCATTTGTGAAGTCCGGTGCGATTAAATTGACCTTTTTATGCCGCAATGTATTACATTAAATAATTTACAACCGCGACAAGATAACGTTTTTGTTAAATTTGCAAGCGATAACAGTGGTTATTAAATAATGTAGATATTATTATCCATTATTAAATGATGTAGATATTATTAAACATTATGACTGTCACCTATAATTAGTGTTGACAGTTTACAAGTTTATTATTATGCAAATATATTATTAATTAATGTTGCCATAAGCAAAATGCGTGATGAAAAACTGAGAATCTCTCAAATTAGGAGAATATAAACAAGACCATCCTGGGAAACAACTCGCACTCTGGTAATTCCCATAATGTTTATATGCAGCAATATGCGATGACATAGGCCCACGTCAGCTATAGTCGGATTAAACCTTGCTAAATGAATGACTGAACCATATTATCTTTTACCAGATGTTACCCTATTTCAGAAGAATTAGTTTTGAAGCTAGATAGGTGTAAGTGACAACTTTGGTACTGGATGAAAAATTACTGGTCTTAGTCAAGTAAGTCTTAGTAAATAAGGACACTACGAACAACGATATTCAGTATACGTACACGAGCATGCAATGTTATATACCCGGCGAATCACTTGTTAGATTTCTTCACTGGGCCTCTACAATGGCGGAATGTGCTGATTTGCTTTCCAGACTCTGAGTCTCTGGGGGCTATAGTCATTCCATGAATAAACTTGATTCACATCCGTAACCGTACGCGGGAGAAACCCGAGCATGAGGAGACAAAACAAAAGTTTTCCGGACTAGGCCTTCGTAGAGCCATGTAATTATCTAAGTTTAATACAAATTGATATAATTTTGGCTCGCTACATTAACAGGGTGGTCATGTTTGTAATAATAGCAATAGCACAGGAAAATTATGGTTTCTAAAAATACTCACTGCACGATTTTTAAATTACCGATTCATTTTCTTTTGGGTTTTAGTAAAAGTAATATTCAGGATTGCTCTGGAAATTATACTGAAATCATCAGAGTTGATTCAAATTAAGTCGCCGCCAAGTCGCGTTGCTTCGTGCTTACAGCCGAGCAGGCAATCGTGTTGTCGTGCTGAATGATGCTAATAATAATAGAATGACATTCCAAGCCTTCGGACAGCAGCGAGAATGTCATGTACGATTATTTCACGTCATTTAAGTCTGTGTACGCACGTGTGCGTGCGAGGAAATGCACGAGTGTGTGTGTGTGTGTGTGTGTGTGTGTGTGTGTGTGTGTGTGTGTG